AAAAAAAAAAAAAAAAAGCAATTACTAACTCTTAGCATTTTTTTGTAACACCCACCTCTCCAGTCAGAATCGAAGAGGAGTTCTTGTTACTGAGATGATTGTCCACTTGAGCTGACTCCTGCTGAGCTCGGCGACCCATCTTGGGCCCCTGTAAGGAGAGATGGGGAGCGCTGCTGACCCAAACATCTTCGAGCCACTATGAGGACAAGAATTCTGGGAAGGTAAGCAAGGACATGATGTATGAAGACGTGGTGGAGGATGGGATTTGAGTAACTTGAATATATTTCTCAAAAATGCTCCAAACCCTGAAGACAAAGCACCTGACATCATTTCTATTTAATAGGAAAATATGAAATTCCTGGATTAACGATCACAAGTTTCTCTTTTAACTACCAGAGATCTTTCCTACCCAAAGAAATGCAGCTAGACTTTCCTCTAGAAGGAACAGAGATCTCATGTCAGGCACTGGATTAAATGCTTCCCATGCGTTATTCCATTTCATCTTCACTGCAGCACTTTGAAGTAGATATCAACGTCTCCATTCTAGAGATAAGGAAACCGAGGTTCGGGAGGGTTCACTTGTTTTAGTTAAAAAATAATTTTATTATAATCGACACACAACGTTAACCTTTTTTTTTTTTTTTTTTTTTTTTTAACCCAGTAAGCAGCTTCATACTCCATTTGACCTCTGGACCCCCAGCTCCTAGCCATTCCTCCGTGTTAGAAATCCGAGTCTTGATTTCCTAAATCATAAAACTGAAGTAACTCCCACCTCCTCGTGGGAACTCCGGTCAAGAAAAGGCCACTCCAGCCTGCCTGCCTTCTTTTCATGCGTTAAAACACTGTGGTTTTTACACGAACTTCTGGCAGGTGAAGTCCCACGGAAAAAGCCCTAGGGTAGGTGCAAATGCGACCCTGACCAGGATCTCCCCCCCCCCCCACCCCGCCCCAATCACCCTTCAGATATGTCCTTTCTAGGGGAGTTAGCACTCGGGGCTCCAGCAAGCGCAGACTGGCTGGGAAATTTCCCACCGGTTCCGGAGGCCTGCAGGCGCAGGATCTGTTTTCTGCTTTTGGAGAATTTTAAAGAAAGCACACCCCAGGCCGGGGGCGGGGCAGCTGAGGCCGCCTCTTCCTCGGCCTCACCCCGGCGCGGCTCTGGGCCCGGCCGCTGGGGACAGGCCAGGCCGAGGCGCCTCAGGGACGCCGAGCCGGCTAGGTCGCTCCTCCCCACCCGCCAAATCCTAGCCCCAAATCCCCAAGTCAATCCTCACGGAGGTGGCCGAGCCGCGGCGTCGCTCCTCGCCTAAGTCCAGGACGTCCTCCATCTCCGCGGCCGCCTGACGTCACTTCCTGGAAACCAAGCGGCCCAGTCGCGTCCCTGACGATGGCTCCACCCCTTCATCTCAATATTTAAAGAATCCGTGGCATCATTCCTGGATTCCGTGTGCCCCCTTTGAATTTAAACCAAAACTTCCCAAAACTTCCTCGCTTGACAGTTCTGGAAGAAACCTCCAGATATTAAATCCCGCTAAGGCTGCTCCTGTGGGACAGTGAAAACATGTTAGTCTTTAGGAACTGTCTACACTTGTAGATCTGTTTAAATATTATTTAGTGCAGGGTTGTCCGGGTGGCCTAGTCGGTTGAGCGTCCGACTTTGGCTCAGGCCCTTTCTCTCACGGTTTGTGAGTTCGAGGTCTGCATCGGGCTCTGTGCTGACAGCCTGGAGCCTGCTTTGGATTTTGTGTCTCCCTCTCCCTCTGCCCCTCCCCCACTTGTGCTCTGTCTCAAAAAGAAACATTAAAAATTTTTTTAATTTAAATATTACGGGCAAAGCATTAGCTAATAGTAGTAATTAAATTGATCCTTCCTATTTAGCTTCCTATATAGCCCTTGCAATGTACAAACGACCTTCACAGTTATTAGCTCACATGAAGGGCATAATAACCGTATGTGGAAAAACAAGATGAGTTGTATTGTTTCCATTGGACAGTAAAGAAAACAGGCTTACAGGTGGGGGAGTGGGGGGGGTGTCAGGTGCAAATAGTTTCTAATAGAAAATGCAATATATATAATCTCTGCCTTCAAGAACTTTACGAAGAGGCTGAACGAAGATGTCAAATACCTTAGTAGTAATAACATTCAAAAGCATAAGTAATCTCTCCAAAAGCCCCACAAAGTGAGCACCAGTGATATCTGCATTCAACAATTGAGGATAGATACTAAGGTGCAAAGATGTGGCTTGAGGGAAATCATCTGAGTGCTAAGCAGCAGAGCCAGTTCCTTTTTTTTTTTTTTTAAGTTTATTTACTTATTTTGAGACAGCGACAAAGAGTGCACATGTGGGAGGGGCAGAGAGAGGGAGAGACAGAATCCCAAGCAGGCCACATGCTGTCAGCACAAAGCCCAACGATGTGGGGTCAAACTCACAAACCATGAGATATCAAGAGTCCAAGAGTCGGAGGCTTAACCAACTGAGCCACCCAGGTGCCCCCACCAGGTGCCTTTGTGATACCAGATCTTACAAGAGTACTTTTCTTCTGCACATATTACTGGGTACCAGCCATTCTCCTAGGCTAACCGAGGAAGATATCCCTCCAATTCCCAGCCTAATGGGGCAAGCAAGTTGAGTCTTCATTGATTCTTCATGTAAGATCCCCAAGTCAACACCACTGGCCAGGTCCCTGGTCCTGATCAGCTGGAACCCCCAGAGAGATGGTCTCATGGTCCTGAAAGTGAGCAAGAGCCCCGATATCATGCTGGGCATAAGGTCAAGATGACCACTGCTAAAACGTGAGGACTTGAGAGTGGAAGTGGCACCCCCTAAAAGTGGATTGCAAGCATTTCTTCAATACCCAATAAATTACTCAATTCAACCGGTCATCCACACATGTTTACTGGGTAGGGCCGTGTGTTCACATGCCTTGTGACAGCAACAGCACTGCTTGGATGTCAGAAGATTTGAGGTCTTATCCTGGCTCTGCTGATAACTACCTGTGTGGCCAGGCAGAGCCCTCTGGACCTGTCTCCTCCCTTGTAATTGCTCTTAGAGATTACCCTAAGATCTGATTCTCAATGAAAATACCCTGTTAGATTTTAACCTGAAGAAACATCCATTGCCAAAATCTGAGACAGATGAAATATAGGCTCCGATGAATCCTTTGTTTTCTTCTTCCTTGGTACCAGATGAGGAAGAAGGGCTTACTCTTTGGATTTTTCCAAAATCCATAACCTACTTCCCTGCTTTGTGTGAGCTCATAGCTACACTGCCACCACCTTAAAGCCAGTTTTCAAACCTTTACTCTCACTTCTTCCTTGCCTTGCTGAAAGCAAAAGGTGCCTGGTGCTCGCTCTGGGCAGAAAGAAGCTCTAGAATGGTGGCTTCCAGACCTTGCTGAACACCTGAATCACCTGTGAGGTTTATTATACTACTCTTTTTTTTTTTTTTTTTTTTTTTTAGTTTATTTATTTTGAGAGAGAGAGAGAGAGAGAGAGCAGAGGAGGGGCAGAGAGAGAGGGAGAGCGAGAAAATCCCAAGCAGGTCCCGAGCTGTCAGCAGAGCAGGACGCGGGTCTCGAACCCATGAACCCATGAGATCATGACCTTAGCCGAAACCAAGAGTCGGATGCTCCACCTACTGAGCCACCCAGGTGCCCCACCTGTGAGGTTTATTAAAAACACATGTGCCAGGGCCCCACCCCCCGGAGGGTGATTTGGTAGAGGTGGAGTCCAGAAGGATATAATTTTAATTTTCCTCCCATCTTGCAAGTGTTTGCTTAAAGGCCTCAGTAACACAGCAACAAGCTGTGTTGCTGTCACCCTATTTCAAGTTTCAGCAGTCCCAATCCAGGCACTCCATATTCTACCTCCCTGCTTTATTTTCTGCCATGGCACTTCTCTTTTATCGTAATACATAAATTACTTGGTTTATGGCCTTTCCCATGTACCTACCCACCCCCTGTGTAAGTTCCATTAAGGGCAAGGGCTTTGTTTATTAGTTTGTTTTGTTCACTGCTGCGTCCACAGAGCCTAGAACAGGGCCCGGCACACAGTGAATGTCATAAATATTTCTCGAATGATGGCTGAATTTCAGAGGCAGTATTGCATGGGACGTGCATAGACTCTGGCAAGAGACTTCCTGCCTCCAGATCTCAGGGTTGGCACCTACTGGCTATATACTGTAGGTAAATTACTTTTAAGCTTTCTACACCTAGATTTCCTCTTGTTACTCAAATGACAACAATGCCTACCCAAACTAGAGGGGCTGAGTTAACTATCACCTCCGCCACCCATAAGCGTGTGGCCTTTAAAAAAAAAAAAATTGCTCTGTGCCTCAGTTTCCTCAACAGTAGCCTGTCCAGTTTCCTCAACAGTAGACTGCCTCAGTTTCCTCAACAGTAGACTGGAATTCTGTGAACATCCCAGCGGCCTAGGAGCCAGGAGCAGGGAACTGACCTCACAGGAAGGGTCCAGGAAGGCTGAGTGAGGTGGGGTGGGGTGGCTGGAAGCAGCACTGATTCCCAGGAGTGATCGGGAGGCTGTGTTACTGGGAAGCAACGCGCCTTGCCTTCTCTGAGCTTCTCGTGGGAAAAGACCCAGAAGCTTAGTTGGAGAAGAGGAACGAGAGCGAGCGGAGGGAAAACTTCCCCTCACCCATCTGGGAAATGGGCTGGGGCCAACTGCTGACTTTGCGCTCGCTGGCGCGGCTCCCTGCGGAACCCTCGGCGGGGAGGGAGGCTGCGAACATCTGGAGGACATTTCTGCGAGAGCGGCTGCCGAACGGGGCCCGGGGAAGAGAGAGGTGCACTTGTGCGCACGTCGGGCCGAGAGGGAGGCCGTCCCCGCAGGTTCCGGTCCCGCGGCCCTCGCCCTCCCCCGCGGCCCCTTTTCTCCAGCCACCCCCCTCCAGTCCCCCCCCCTCCCCCCGCCCCAGCCCTGCTCGCCGTCCGGGCCCCGGCCCGCCGCGCTCCTTCACTGGCGGCCTCGCCTCGCCAGAGGGCACCCTCGATCTGCCGGAAAACGCCACCATTTTCAATGGCCCTGGAGCATCTCCAAGCTTCAGCCCGCCGCCCGACTCCAGGCTTGTCAGTGAAGAATCGGGGCCAGGATCGCCGCGGAGCTGAGCCCACCTCCAACCCCGCTCCCCGGCCGGGCGTCGCCCCCCACCCCCGAAGGTGGGCACGGCCGCCCCAGAGCGGGCCCCGCGCGCGCCCCTGCCCCAGTCCCTGCCCCTGCCCCTTGTCCCGCCGGGCGCGGGGGCGGCCCGGGGGCCGGGGGGCCCGGGCCGGAGCGAGAGACGGGCCCCGAGGCGAGAGGACGGACTGACAGCTGGCGAGAGGGCGAAGGAGCTGGGGGAGAAGGAGGGAAGGGATTCGTCGGAGTAACTTTCCAGAAAAACAGTCAACGTGTAGCAGGAGTGACTCCAAGAGGGGAAAAAAAGTTCAGTTACCACGTCGAGCGAGAGGACTCGCAAAGTATTTTTCAAATGGGCTCGGCTTTTCCTGTGCCTGTTTAAAACATTAAAATCGTGCTGCAAAAGAGGCTGCGTGCGCTGGTCCCTCCCTCCCCCACCCGGGCCAGAGACGTCATGGGAGGGAGGTATAAAATTTCAGCAGAGAGAAATAGAGAAAGCAGTGTGTGTGCATGTGTGTGTGAGAGAGGGAGAGGGAGAGGAGCGAGAGGGAGCGAGGGAGAGAGAGAGAGAGGGAGAAGGAGAGGGAGAAGCAGCAGGGAGAGGAAGGGAGGGAAGCAGAAAGCCAAGGCCAAGGGAATGAGCAAGCGAGGGGAGAGATAGGGGAAGAAGCCTGAGAAAGAAGGAATAACAGCTTTCCGGAGCAGGCGTGCAGTGAACTGGCTTCTATTTTCTCTTTCTTTGCCTTTTTATTTTTTAAAGAGAAGCAGGGAACAGAAGCAATGGCCGAGGGAGAAGACAAGCCGAGGTGCTGGTGACCCTGGGCGTCCAAGTGGATTATTGTTCCTGGGGCCTGTTCTCCCTGCCTTCCAATTGCACATACCCCCACTTCCCAGCCAATGAAGAGGAGAGGCAGCGTGAACAAAGTCATTTAGAAAGCCCCCGAGGAAGTGTAAACAAAAGAGAAAGCATGAATGGTGTGCCCGAGAGACAAGTGTGTCGGGCTGCCCCCACCTTGAGCTGGGCCAGCACTGCCCAGCCCTGCCTCTCCCCACCTACTCACTGGTGATCTGACTTTTTTTTTTTTTTTAAACAATTTTTTTTTTTTTCCTTTTCTTTTCCATTCTCTTTTCTTACCCTCCTTCAGGGCAAGGCAAGGATTTTGATTTTGGGACCCAGCCACGGTCCTTCTACTCCTTCTTTAAAATACCCACTTTCTCCCCATCGCCAAGCGGCACTTGGCAATATCAGATATCCGCTCTATTTATTTTTACCTAAGGAAAAACTCCAGCTCCCTTCCCACTCCCAGCTGCCTCGCCACCCCTCCCAGCCCTCTGCTTGCCCTCCACCTGGCCTGCTGGGAGTCAGAGCCCAGCAGAACCTGTTTAGACACATGGAGAAGAAACCCAGAGCTACAAGGCACACAGTCGGCTTCTTCGCGCTCAGGGTTGCCAGCGCTTCCTGGAAGTCCTGAAGCTCTCGCAGTGCAGTGAGTTCATGCACCTTCTTGCCAAGCCTCAGTCTTCGGGATCTAGGGAGGCCGCCTGGTTTTCCTCCCTCCTTCTGCACGACTGCTGGGGTCTCCTCCGCGCCAGGCCTCGCAGCCCCCCTGGCCTCTCTCCCCAGCTTGCGCATGAAGATGCACTTGCACAGGGCTCTGGTGGTCCTGGCCCTGCTGAACTTTGCCACGGTCAGCCTCTCTCTGTCCACTTGCACCACCTTGGACTTTGGCCACATCAAGAAGAAGAGGGTGGAAGCCATTAGGGGACAGATCTTGAGCAAGCTCAGGCTCACCAGTCCCCCCGAGCCATCGGTGATGACCCACGTCCCCTACCAGGTCCTGGCCCTTTACAACAGCACCCGGGAGCTGCTGGAGGAGATGCAGGGGGAGAGGGAGGACAGCTGCACTCAGGAAAACACCGAGTCGGAGTACTATGCCAAAGAAATCCATAAATTCGACATGATCCAGGGGCTGGCGGAGCACAGTAAGTCCACATTCTCGCTGGGGTGTCTGCTCTAGAGGGTCTGAGCAGGAGTGGGGAGTTCCTCGGGGGGGGGGAGGGGGGGGCCTAGCGGGGGGCCTCACAGCAGGGTGCCCCGGGATCACCCACACCAAGGCTCAGGAGGCGTGATGCACAGTTGGGGCCGGGTGGGTGGCTGGGGAGGGAGACCGGGCCATTGTGGGAAGAGCCGGGGGCTTCTGGGAGGCCAGGCGCCCTGGAGTTGAGTGGCTTGCTGAACTCACATCACATCCTCGACTGATTTTACTTTGGAATTACACCGTGCCGTCCTGTTCACATCTGTGCTCTGGCCCATGTGATGGGATAGGCGACTGCGAGCATACGGATGCCATAGAGGGACAGGGCCGGGTCTCTTGAAAGCCGTTATAGCTCCCTGAGTCTGGAGACCTCGGTCTTCTCCCTTGTTTTGGCCACTCATTGTGACGCGTCTTTGGTTTAGTTTTTCCAGTCCTTGGGAAGAAGGGTACACTTGCCCTAGATTAATGTCTGTCAAGCTTTTTGAAGCCCAGGCAAGATCCAGCTTCTTGCTGTCTAGGCCCTTCGGTCTATGCCACACACATGACCCACGTGAGCTGTGAGCATGGTTGAAAGGCACGCACCTACGTTCACACGTACAAGTGCTTCAGGGTGATGTGTAGTCTGGCTGTGTACAGTAGACAGATTCATGTGCTCAAAATGGGCGTCTTCCAGGCCTGTGGACACGGGGAGAGCAGGGTTGTGGCTCTGGACGTGTACATGATTGCTGGCCGCCCTTTTGTGTCTGCGTGTCACGGGAAGAGTGGGTGGGAGGTGTGGCCGTGGGTGCAGAGGGGACATATGTCCGGGAGTGTGTCCTCCCAGGAGGCTCCCGTCTGTGCTGAGAGGCTGGGAGGCTTCTGGGTGAGACGTCTGCGTGTGTGTGTTTGTACACGTGTGGAAGTCATGTGTGTTTACTGAACGGACCTTTAAAAAACCTCAATACAAGAGAGAGAGATTTGGCAGATGTTGAGAAACTGACAGCCCGAGAAGGAGGAATGTGAGCCGCGCTGGGCCAGGGACCCTGGGAGCAGCTCTGTTTGCTTTTCCTACCAGCAGGTGTCCTCACCACCCGGACTACCTCTTCCAGGCCCACCTGGCAGTGGGGAGTGGGAGTGGGAGTGGGAGTGGGAGGGAGCAGGCAGGGTGAGGGGGGTCAGTGGGGGAACTTGGGAAGTTGAAAGGAACCTGGCTGCAGAGGAGGAAGAGGAGTAGGTGGCTGGTGGGTGGAGCAGCTCCAGCTGAAGGTGCAAAAGGCCCTACTGGGAGCCGGCCCATGCCAGGTCCAGGAGCCTGTGGTTACTGGCGAGGGGTTCCCACTCCCGTTTCCTGTGGCCGCCTGGAGCGCCTTGCCTTAGGATGTGGCTACCGTGCGGGGCGGAAGCCGGAGTAAGAGGCAGGGCTAGTGCATCCTGCCCAGGGTCCTCCCGTGGGTCTGGCTCAGCCTCTGCCAGGGGCCCACGGTTCCCAGAGGCGCCAGCTCCTGGATGGCTGAACCCCCAACCCCCTGGGCAACCACCAAGTCCGGAGATAGTGGCCACGAGGGTGGAAAACTGAGGCCTGCAGGAGAGGTCTGAAGGGAGCCCAGGGTGAGAGAGAAGGGCTCGGACCTTACCATCCGGGTCAGGAGGTGGAGTCCCAGGGAGGAGGGATTCTGAGTCACAAGGGCACATCCAGCCTGGAATCCGGAGCCGAGAATGAATGGGCCAGATGCATGCGAGGGCATATGGGTGCCAGTGGATGTGGATTTTGTACAGAGACTCAGGACACAGGTAGCGAGCAGTCTTGGGGAGAGCGAGGGCAAGGGCCCACGGACGCCGGGCAGCTCGGCCTGCAGCAGCAGAACCCTAGCAGGTAGGGGCGACCCTCGGGCCACAGAGCCTGGTCAGGCTGGGAGCAAGCCCGGCACAGGGAGCAAGATACTATTTGGGATATTGTGGAGGGGCCAGGGCACAGTGGGACACGGGCGATGCCGTGGAGGCTTGCAGGTGCAAACAGGAAGCAGGCCCAGACTCTCTGCAGCTGTTGGAGGTGACACAGAGGCTGAGCAGACGCGGCTTGGGCCCGCCCTGCAGCTGGTCAGGTGCCGAGCCAGCCCCAGAGAGGCAGACGCAGAAGGCACACTAATTATAAAGGAGGCAGCGGCGCAGATGCTGAGAAGCAGCAGAAGGCCATCCTCAGAGGCTTGGGGTGAGGGAAGCCCGTCCTGAGCTCACGAGGGCTGTGTCCTAGAGTGGCCCTGGGTCCGTGGCGGGACCCTAGCAGGGTCTGGGTGCCAGAGCTTCTGGGGGGGAGTGATGAGATCGCATTCGCTTCCACGTTTCATCATTCCCAGCCTGCTCCTGTACCCAGTGGAGGGGCACTTAGAGGGAAGTGACAGCAGGAGCTGGCCTAAGGACATAGGGGAGCCTGGAGAGCAAAGTATGGCAAGGAATCGTTTCCGGTGTGCAGGAGAAAGGGCACCACGGTGAGCACAGAGGAGAGGGCCCATCTTCTGGCTCTGCCCTGTCAGAGAGGAACCCCGATTCTCTGCCTTACAGATGAGGACACAGAAACGTGCATCAGTTAAGTAATGTGCCTCAAAGAGCAGGGGCTCTAACCTAGACGTTGTTCTGCCTGCAGAATGCATGCTGTTAGGCACTAACCCAAGTGTGTAAAATAAACGTTTTAAGCCCCACCTTTAACCTCAAGGTCCCAATAGCACTTTGATTTACAACATGAGCAAATCACCTATCGGACCAAGCAGGAGCGGGTAGGAGCTCTTTGTAACCCTGGTGGCAGACCGCACGGGGACCACTGGGTGTGTTGTTTCTTAGCTCCGCCTGTCGTTATGGCCAGGAGATTGATATCGTCACAGACGTTCTCCCAGATTCAGCGGAAGGGCGTTCTTTATCTAACGAAGAGCCTCAAGCTGGTTAAGCAACCACACCAGATGGCATTAGTCAGGCCACCTCTCTGAGCCTCAGTTTTCTCATCTGTAAAGTCAGAGATCATCTCTAAGCTCTCTCGCAGCTGAAGCAATTTTATGCATACATCTGGGATGATTCAACAGCCTCAGCAGTGAAGGCAAGACTCTGGAAATCCTCTTATAATTCATCAGGAGTTGGCTCTGTGGAGGCTGTCTCTGCCCCACGTGGTGGGGAAAGACACAGGCTTTTCCATTCCTTTGTCATCCTTGTTATCAAGATATCACCAGCATAGGTGTTGTTTTAACTTCTGGCTCGTAATTATCTGTGTCTGGCGGGAGACCCTTGTTTTCATCCAGCAGTGGCTCTAAGACAGCCGGCAAACCCGGAGTTCCTGAGCAAAGAGAAAACTTGATATTTTAGCCTTTCTTTCCTGGATGCTACTTCTGGATTTGGATTTTTTCATTCTGAAAATTAAAAGATATTTTGTATCACAAGAACTCATTTGTGTTAAGGGCCAGTGCCCTCTGCACGCTGGGTCAGTGTTTCTCCTAGAAGGGCTAGGTAAATGTAAAAACTGTGGATTCCCAGGCCCAAGCCCACCCTTACAGAATCAGAATCTGGGCGTGGGGTCCTGGGGAATCTGTATTTCCGAAAAGCACCCCATTGATCCTTAAGCTCACTGAGGCTTAAGACTCCGTGAACTGCAGGGCAAAACCTCTCCTTAAGGAGCTGAAAACACAAGTGCCCAGCTAATACGAAGGATCTGGAAGAAAAGCCAACACCATAACGGAGCACACAGGACACTTGGCCTCGGGGTCGAGGAGAGAATAGGGTGTGCAAGAGGCTGATGGGGCGGGGGGAGCTGGAAGCGCCCACGCCCTGTTAAAAGAGGGTACCCGCTGCTCAGTCCCTGTTGATTTCTGCATTTAGGAATGTGGGTCCAGCTTGCCTCGACCTTGCCGTTAACCCAGAAGAGCAGAAAATCTGGATCTTTTTGTGAAATATCCCAACTTGTAACATGGGCTTAACATGTTGATGGGCTTCTGATTCAAAAATTTTTCAAATGATGCATTGGTCCAACTGCATGTCTAATACGTTTTAAAGGTTAACCCGTTTAATGGTGAAATCATTGGAGTGTGGTTTCTCATACTTCTAGAACATCTGGAAGCCATGGTACCCTTTGCAGAGCACTATAAACTGTGGCCCTCAACTCTGGCTACACATCAGAATCATCTGGAGATCTTAAAGAAAGAAAGAAAGAAAGAAAGAAAGAAAGAAAGAAAGAAGAAAGAAAGAGAAAAGAAAAGAAAAAAGAAAAGAGAAGAAAAGAAAAGAAAAGAAAAGAAAAGAAAAGAAAAGAAAAGAAAAGAAAAGAAATGGAAAACAACTCTGGACCCACCCACTCCAAGGTAGTCAGCATGTCAGCATCTCTGGCGAGTGGGGCCAGGCATCATGTATTTTCAAGGTTCTCCAGGTGATCCTAACGTGTAGCCAGAGAAGCTTGGCCACACTGAAATATGCATGCTGTCATTGGAACCTGCAGGGTTTTACATGCAGAAATGATGTATATAAGCACAGGCACATCTAGGAGCCCTGGTGTCTGAAAACATTTTAAAAGGCATGGTCGAAACACGGTCAGCTGTTTCCACGTTTTTGTGTGAAAACTCTACATGAATATTCTTTGCTTATTTTTCTCTCCTCGTAGGAAAAAAGGGGGGGGGGAAGGGCCTCCACCAATATATGTATTTCTCGCGCAGTGGGAAAAGCTGGTCATAATGTAATTTGAAAGGTGGATCCTCTAGTCCAGCTCCCAATAATACCAGCATCCTGCAGAAGCACGGCTTACCCACAGAACTGAGCGGGGCTTGGCTGTTGCTTAGGCCTAAGTTGGCACTCTGGGCCCACTTCAGGGAAGCCTTCATTTTGTTGGTGAAACTGTGCCTCCACTAGATCTCTCTGGGCCCCCCAACTTCCAGATTCCCCACTTCAATAAAAGAGGTATGGTGCAAAGACCTGGGTTCAAATACCACCTGTGCTACCCGCTAAATTTCCTGACACTCAATTTTCTCATTTGCAATTTTAAAAATTTTGGGGCGCCTGGGTGGCGCAGTCGGTTGGGCGTCCGACTTCAGCCAGGTCACGATCTCGCGGTCCGTGAGTTCGAGCCCCGCGTCGGGCTCTGGGCTGATGGCTCAGAGCCTGGGGCCTGTTTCCGATTCTGTGTCTCCCTCTCTCTCTGCCCCTCCCCCGTTCATGCTCTGTCTCTCTCTGTCCCCAAAATAAATAAACGTTGAAAAAAAATTATAAAAAAAATAAAAATTTTATTTGAAAGAGAGAGAGAGAGAGAGAGGGAGACAGGAGGATCCAAAGCGGGCTCTGCTCCGACAGCAGTGAGCCCGACGTGGGGCTCGAACTCATGAACATGAGATCATGACCCGAACCGAAGTCAGGCGCTCAACCGACTGAGCCACCCAGGCGCCGCTCTCATTTGTAACATGGTCAATTTGACTTCTCGTCCTCCTCGAGGATTGTTCGAGGGTCAGATGAGTTAATAAGAGCTCTGTGCAATGTAAGGTGGTGTTATCACAGTTGATTTACAGTCTCATTCCACAGATTACTTAAAACAGCATCATTCTTCAGTGGGTTTAATTGCCAAGATTATATTTACGTTTTCTTTTCTCTCCTAGGCAGTTCTTTTGTAATCACCAACGATTCTGTCTGAGCTTTACTGATAGGGTCAATTTCCTTGTGTCAACCAACGAACCCCACCCCCCCGCCCCTCCCCGCCCCAGCGTCCGTTCTACCTCTGCTAGAAACCTGTAGATCCCAGTGATAAAAAATGACCCTTCCACCTCCTTCTCGAAATCTCCTTGAAGTTCCCACCAAGAGGAGTCCGTCGTAGGGAACAGATATCTGATTGATGGGCTGGAAGAAGCAAAGGAGGGATGGTTACAAGGGTGTGCTAAAGACCCTCTTAGCTCATCGCTGCCCGCGTGTCCTGGCTTCCTGCTGTCTTGACCCCCCTCTGACTCTCCTCACTGGCATGCGCCGTCTTCTGTTCCATCTTCTTTTCCACAGCAGTGTGCACGTCGTGTGGACATACGCTTTATGCCCCCTTTCAGCAGCTGCTGGAGGTGCTATTATAACTGAAGCCACATTGATGACAGCTCCTTCAGGAACCAAGCGTGCGAGTACTTGCGAGGGTGGCCAGTCTGAGGAACCTACCCAGGTCCAGAGGGTTTCAAACGGGCAAACTTAAAAATTAAACTGCTCACGCTGGTGCCTCTTTCTGGTTCTATCTGCAATAATTTAGGGAATAGTTGGCAATATTTGTTCTTTCGAAGCCAGTTATTAAGCAGGGCTTCATTAGCCGGCATTCACACATTTGTTTTCCTAACATCTGTTCCATTAATTTTCTAAGAACCAGTGTCAGGCCCACCAGATGGCAATTTCCAGAAACACTCGCTCATCCTTTCCTCAAGATCAGTAGCGCATTTGCTTGTTTCCAAGCCTCTGATCCTTCCCGCCTTGTCCGTGACTTCCTACACCACCCCTCGGGGTGATTATGAGCTCATTCCAGCCATGTCCATTATGTGTGGAATCTGGGTCTATGAGCTTGAATTTCAAGTTCTGGCTATTATTACCGTTTGGGTAGAAAGTTTTTCTCTGGGTGTTAATGCTGCTCCGACCTTGAGGTTGTAAAGCGTGCAGGAGAAGAGACAGGATCTTTCTCTTCTCTTCATCTGGCTCCGAGGTGTGGGGAAAGAGCATCTGTTGCCTCGTGTCCTCCGGACAGGGACGGAGAGGCCAGCACGGTGACAGAGGCTGGCAGAGCACGTGCTGTCAAAGTCAGAAATCCTTAGAAAGGAGTCAGTGGGGATGGCCCAGCTCTGAAGAAACATCTGTGGGTCTGTCAGACTTGAGATGTGGGCTCTTTGCCATACCGATGCTGCCTCATTGGGTCTAAAACACAGTGTTAATTAAGTCACTGCACTGCTCTTCTAACACCTTCCATGGCTCCCTACTGCTAACGCGATAAAATCCAGCCTCTCGGGCTGATACTTCAGCCTCCCCAGCCTGCTGTGCTGACCTTGTCTCGCGGGCCCTCCCCTGGCTGCTTCCTCTTACTCGCATCTCCTCCTGTCCCTGCTTCGTTTCCAGCAGTCCTTCCATGGAAAATCCCTTCCTCTCCATCCTCAGACCCTTTCCTCCTGCAGGACCCAGATCACATGGTACCTCTTCCATCAGGTGCTCCCTGCTGTCTCCCTACTCTGGTCCCTCCCAACTCCTGGGCTTCTCCAAAGGCCCTCAACCCTTTTCCGCTCATCCCGTTATGTGGGCCCTTGTATTAAGATCCTCCCTCCGCACCCCCCGACATGACTCTCCTTGAAGGCAGGGGCACATCTGTTCAGTTTTGCTTCCCAGTGTCAGCGCTGCGCTTGGCACATAGTATGTGCTCAGTGCACGAGTAATACAAGAATGAACGCCCAAAGGAACGAACACATGCATGGGGCAGGTAGCTGTGAGATGGTTAAACCGCCAGGGGGGTTGCTGAGATCTTTTGAGGACGTGTGTTTTCTAAAAGAGTAGCAAAGCAGGCTGGAGAGCCTGCCACAGTTGGGATGTCGAGGCCGTGGGAGGAGTGGCGATTGCCTTTGACTGGCCAGTCATTAGTGCCGGTCCCGGGACTCCCGGGGCTCCTTGCTCCTGACTGGGGCCTTCACCAAGATCTTCCTCCCATCTCCGCCTTCAGGCCTGGGGCCTCACACCTCTAGGGAGGTCATGGGTGGGACCCGGGCCGCCTGGCGGGTGTCCGTGGGCCGCACACTGCTCCTGCGGGGTCTCACTCACACACTTACGGCACCTCTCCTGCTTGCTTGATCTCCTAGATGAGCTGGCCGTCTGCCCCAAAGGGATCACCTCCAAGGTCTTCCGCTTCAACGTGTCCTCAGTGGAGAAAAATGGAACCAACCTGTTCCGAGCGGAATTCCGGGTCTTGCGGGTGCCCAACCCCAGCTCTAAGCGCAGTGAGCAGAGGATCGAGCTCTTCCAGGTGAGCCCCTCCCAGAACAGAAGCCACACGGACAGGGACAGATGGGGAAAGCCGGCGCCCCTGCCCCTGCAGGCCTCTGCTCTGTGCACCGTTCAGAAGGCCTGGGTGTGAATCCTACCTTCTTGGAGTCTTGCTTTCTGTACGTGCGTCTGTCGCTGAGAGGATTAAGCATTAGCTAAGCGTTTGAAGGAGCGTTCAGGAATTTTCAGTTTCCTGTTGCTCCCCTCACGTGCCCCTCTGCATTGTGACATGTGCTGCCGTCCTTGTCCCGGCCTGGGCCGCTTACTCCTTTCTCCGCCCTCCAGATACTCCGGCCCGATGAGCACATCGCCAAACAGCGCTATATCGGTGGCAAAAATCTGCCCACACGGGGCACCGCCGAATGGCTGTCTTTCGACGTCACTGACACCGTGCGGGAATGGCTCTTGCGAAGAGGTAGGTTGACTCTTAGCCTGAGCATTTGGGAAGGATCCCTCAGGTCCCTTGGGTCATTTCCGAAACAGAAGGAAGAGGACAAAACCAGAAGAGTCGCAGATCTGGGTTCAAACGCTAGCTCTGCCATCGATTCGCTGTGTTCTTCATCTGTTCACGCAACCGATACTTACGAAGAAAATTAAGTGTGGCTTACTGCGGATGCAGCCGCGAACAAGGCCGGTGAGGTCCCTATCCCATCGGGCTTCTTTCCTGGTGGGAGAGACACACACTACACAAGGCAACATATCGATGAATAGGAATCTCAGTGATGAGTAGCATGAAACATAGAGGGCACTGTGGTGATGACAGGGCGCAGTCTGACATGAGATGCTCAGGGAGGGTCTCTGTGACAAGGAGTGTGTGCACCGAGGCCTGAGTGATGAAAAGGTTTCAACAGGGATGTGCTAGGCGAAGGAGGTAGTGGGGCTCAGGCCCCCGAGCAGGAGCAGGCTTGCTTTGTTCTGGTAGCACACGGGCCGATGTGGCTGGAACGGAATGAGCTGGGGGGCCAGAGGTCGCCGGAGCCATTTAATTTGGGACCTGTGAGGCCATGGTCAGGTTTTAGGACTCATTCCACGTGTGGTGAGAAGCCCTGGAGTATTCCAAGCAGGGCTGGGATGTGGACTGAGGTGATTTTATATCTTTTCCATCTTTAAAAGGTCCCTCTGGTTGCCATGAAGTCAAAGGAAGGAGTAGGAAAACCAGTTTGGGGGGTGCCTGGGTGGCTCCGTCAGTTAAGCGGCTGACTTCGGCTCAGGTCGCGATCTCACGGTTCGTGAGTTTGAGCCCCGCATCGGGCTCGCTGCTCTCAGCGCAGAGCCTGCTTCGGATCCTCTGTCTCCCTCTCTCTGCCCCTCCCCTCCGCACTTGCTCTCTCTCAAAAATAATAAACAAAACGACCATGTAGGGGCCCCTGCAGCAGCCCGGATGAGGGCAAAAGGGGCTTTGGCTAGGGTGGTGGCCGTGGGCGTGGAGAGGATACAGATTTGTCGTATATTTTGGGCGGGCTGGTGAGGCATGGGGTGTGAAGACAGGAGAACGCCTTCTCTGATTGTGGACGGAACCCCCCGGGGTGGCTAACACTTACTGACACGGGGAAGGCGGGGAGAAGAACAGATACAGGGGCAGGTTCTGCTGGGGCCAACTAAGCTCGAAAAGCGTGGTAGTCATCCAAGGAGAGCTGTCCCATCGCCGTATCAAACTTCACCCATCCCAAATTTCTCACCCACTTGCTGTGTTCCCTCACCTGGAAAATCAGGTACTGGTCCCTTCCCTGCATGCCTCACGGGGCTGTGTTAAGGATACCATGTATTTGAGAGAACCTCATGGCTTTCAACCTGTTCCACAAGAGTAAGCTTTTATTAGGTCAGACGAGGACACTGGGGCCCAGAGAGGTTAAGTGACTTGCCCAGGGTTATCCAGCCTGGATCAGAACCAGAGTGTCCTGACTGGCAGTCGTGGTGCCTTGTAACATCACGCTGTGCTGTTTCTCCCCTTCTTTACCTGGTGGTACTGTCTGGATGATGGTCAGTGGGGAGCAGGTGCCTACGGCGGGCTCGTCTGTTCCTTCTCCCCCTCTTGCCAAGAGTCTTCTTCCATCATCACTGCCACAGAGGCACAGTCCATCCACATCCTGATGTCCAGAGTCCCTGGAGCTGGTGGGTCCTTCCCTGTCCTTGATGTTTTGGGAAACCAGGGGTTAACGCACTAAGGCTCGGCCTACGTAATGTTGTAAATTAAATAATGGCCCGCAGTTTTGTTTTGTTTTGTTTTAAAGTCAGGAGATTTCACATAAAATCTGGACTTCTGGATTTTCTAGAAAAGTGGGAAGATTTCCTGGTAACGATCCATGGGAGAGGAGTAGTGGCCACCTCTTGAGGTGGGACACACATTCTTCACACCCCTGTAGGCCCTCCCGGTCCCCACCGTTACCCCCCAGAGTGAGGCCGGCAGTGCCCATTAAGCATGATACGCTGGCTAGCTCCGCTCACTTATGTCACCTGCCTGGGCTCTGTAGGCGTCTGAATTTATAGGTCCTCATCGAAGGGGCATCACCTGATGGCTGAGCTGGCTGATCGCGGGCTGGAGGTCCTGCCTCACCCCCAGGGGTGCCCGGGAGCTCCATCCTATCTCCCCTACTGAGCACAAAGCCAGAAGCCTAGGAGCACCCACGGGACAGGGATCTGCCGTGGGCAGCACAGTTGGGAATTCTGACTCAGATGGCACTCCACCTAGAGCCTGACATGGCTGCAGAAAGGAGAGGCCGGGGAAATTAATCTCTTAGCTTCCTTGTCTGATTTTGATCAGCTCCACCTGGATTTCTTTGAAGCCCTGGGCACTTGAAGGAGTTCTTATTTTCCCAGCTGCAGAGCTCAATGAGAAGTTTGCGCGGAGAATGATTTCCATCCTCCTTGAGACATCAAAAAGATAATTTCGTAATAAAACCTGTGGGTCCCCCACCCACCATCCCCACTGCTGCCAATTCTGAGGTTAGTCCTTCATTGGAACCTTCAGTTCCCACTTAGGCAGATGCTTCCCGCCCCTCGTACGGGGGAATCACACACAGACCTTTACTTATGCAGAGCTCAGGAGTCTTTTCAGAGTTCGTGGCCCCAAACGAGGCAGCAGATGGACTCCAAATGGAACAACTTGGTGGTGTGGACTGATGAGGAAGCCGAGTCACGTATAGGGTCTTGTATTCATTCAGCAAACATCCGAGAGCCTACCGTGCGCTAGGTTCCCAGGCTGCCTTCTAGGTCCCGGCGCCGGCTGGAGCCCCATCCAGAGTTAGGGGCCTGGGTCCTCAGACCCTTGGGCTATTTATTGCTCTACAAGGTCTGCAGTTTCTCCAGGTGCAGAGTCAGGCATCCCCCAGTGGCCCTGTCGGGGAGCACAGCCAGCCTCATAGCTTAGGGTGGGGGCGGGGGGGGGGGCGCGGATGCTGGAAGAGCACAGGCATCTTCCTTTGGTAGTCTCTATTGCCCCGCTTTTTATCCCTCCTTGTCTCAAACAATTAGGATGGTTCCAGCACCAGGTGATGGCATCTTGGCTCTACTGCTTACTGCCTGGGCATCTTGGGCAAGCCACTTAATTTCCCTAAGCCTCAGGGTCCTCATCTATGTAATGGGGGGTAGTAGTAGTCTCTACTTTGTAGGATTATTTTGAAGTTCTTTTTTTTTTAATTTTTTTTTTTTTTAGCATTTATTTATTTTTAAGACGGGGAGGGGCAGAGAGAGAGGGAGACACAGAATCGGAAGCAGGCTCCAGGCTCTGAGCTATCAGCCCAGAGCCTGACGCGGGGCTCGAACTCCCGGACTGCGAGATCGTGACCTGAGCCGAAGTCGGACGCTCAACCCACTGAGCCACCCAGGCACCCCTGTAGGATTATTTTAAACATTGAATGAATTAATGCATGTAAAGTCTTAAAGCAGCGTTTGACATAGAATGCCCAACAAATGTTGGTAATTGTTATCATCACGGTGAGTTTTCTACACAGACAGAGCCTGTTGGCCAAGCCAGGCCACCATCTCTGACACTAAGACCTAACTATCCCCAGCACATCTGTCTGCACCTTGACTTTCTAATTCACAGAATCACAGAACTCGTCCACTCCAGGTCTCTCTTGGCCTTGGCCCCTTCTGAGTACTAGGAAATACACTCTGTAGCCCATTTCAACCTCCCTGGCTCCTTCCCTCAATGGCCTTAAACCAGGAAGAAAACACAGCTACGGCTCCGTCTCTGTTCACTCCCTGTTCTCTGGCTGGGCCTCAGCTTCCTTGTTATATTAGTCCCATCCCTCCCCACCAGAGCTAACCTTCTGGTATAGAAGTCTTCAAGCTCAGCAAGAGTCAGTATGTCCTAGAGGCTGCCCTGGCTTGGAGCAGGACAGATGAGACTGGGTTCTGGAATTTGTGGAAAAAGGGATCCAAGCCTGCCTAACAGTGACCAGAACCTCTGAACTTGGGCCATTCTGTGCATGAGAAGGGTGCTGAGCTGGTTTAGGCTCTGGGGTTTTCCCTGGTGACACCAGATATCGGGAAGACCACAGGTTGGTCCCAAGGCTGGATGCTCACACAGAACTGCTGCCCCCCTACAGCTCGGGATGCAGTAAATCAATCAGCTTGCTGAGATGCTGACCCTGAATGCAGAAGGGTCCATTCCTCATGACCTTTCCTACACCACAGCTTGCTGCTGCCTCCGGGTTAACAGAACTTCCCTAGTTGAGTCTTACCCTGCAGAACTGATATGACACCGATCCTTCCTGGTTTCCCTGCACAGAATTCCTGGATCCAGTTCAAATGTTTTGAACTCTTTTTATTCTTCCCCCCCCCCCCCCACTTTACCCAACCCCTTTTACTAATTTCCTTGATTCCCCAATTTTAGTAACCAAAACACCTCGATCCCACAACTAATAAACACCTCGATCCCACAACTAATAGGAGTAAGGGCTACAGCTGGTAGTCTTACACCGAGTTTCAGTCCACAAACCCTGGCACCTCCAGATTTCCTCCTGCTGGTTCTCTCTGAGCTCATATCGTCTGGGCCGTTGGCCTTGGCCATTGGCCATCTTCTGTGGCCTGTGCTCTGATTTCACAATTGTCTTCCTGAGCTGTTCGTTTTCCCTCAGCCAGCCATCCACATCTCCAGCTTCGCTGTTAAGTGAACAAGGATTCCCAGAGAAGAAACTTCCGAGCAACTTTGACCCAATTATGTCCTTATCCCTTCAAGAAAATATGGCCAAGGGTAGCTGTGATTTTCATCTTATCTCCTCTGGAATCTGCCAGTCCATTTACACCCACAATCATGGCCCTGGTAGAAAGGCTGGCGTCTTCTACCTAGACTGATACCGCTGCTTGTGTGCAGGTGACCTTGCCTCTAGCGTTGCTTCCTGACTTAATCTGTGGCCCAGACTGTCCCATCTTCCTCCCATCTGGTGGACTTTGTGGCCTTTTGAATCACTGCCTCTCTGCTCTAACGTTCTTCAGCGAGCCTCTTTCCCTGGCCTCTCCTAGTCCCCCTGCCTCTTACTTTATCTTTCCTCAGTAGGTCGGCTCGAATATCCCCTCTTCCAACAAACGCCTAGGGGGTGTGATGGCTGTTTTTCTTCCTCTTATGTCCTCATTCTTTTCCTCCCCAAGGAGGTGGGTGACAGTTTTTCCCACTACCGTCCTTTGAAAATAGATGACCCTGAAAATCCTCCTTCCCATTAATTTCCCTTTATGCCTTTATTTGGTTGTTCATGACATAACAGAAACACGCGCAGTGTGGCAACGCATGTGTGGAGGTCCACTGTAGCTTTCGCAGCACTTTCTGTCCTCGGTGACCCTCCGGATTACTCAGCTCCCGTGACCGCCTATGGGAGCAGAGCCCTGGCCCACAGGCGCGGTGATGGGCACACTTCCGCATCACATAAAGAATTTTCTCACTGACTCCGTGTCTTATTTTGCAGAGTCCAACCTAGGTCTGGAAATCAGCATTCACTGTCCGTGTCACACCTTTCAGCCCAATGGAGACATCTTGGAAAACATTCATGAGGTGATGGAAATCAAATTCAAAGGTAACAAAATGGATGTGTATAGTGGGGGTGGGGGCAGTTGATGAGATGGGATAGGACAGGAGACGCCTACCAGGCCCCAAGAGAAGCAACCAAGCTCCCTCACAGAGATGGCCAACTGCTTTGTACTTGAGTAATTCTGCTTTGCCCCAAAGACAACGGGCGTGACTTTCAGTTTATAGATAGAAGATGTTAACATCTGGAAGACAGTATTACATTGGGAAGAGGGGTATAGTCATGGACGCCAACGGGTCCACCTCTCTGAGTTCAGCCAGTAAAATGGAGCTGAGAATGTTTCTTTCATAGGGTTATCACACAAATTAAACGAGATAACAAATGTAAAACTCAGGACCGCAAACACTCAACAAATCGCTGTTGTCTTTCCCTTCCCTAAAAGAAATGAACTGTGGTGATCTGACTACTGAACTTTCCAGATGTTACAGAGGCACCCTGATTCCCACCCAGGAGTCATCTGGGTGTGAATGATCGCTTTGGGGCTCAGGGTGTTTGTATTGAGATAGAGAAATAGTTAAGAGTCTTCTGTGGTCTTCCAAGATGTTTCTAAGGCGTGCAATCTGTGGACAATCTCTGGATGTCAGCGAAGTTCTCTTTTCCTTTCATAGTCCCATTTTGGATAATTGAGGCTTGCCTGAAGCCAGGTGGTTCCTCAAGGTCAAACCAACCAAGCCAGAGCCTGAGATCAGAGTCTTGTCTGGGAAAAGGTGCAGGCCTCTCTTGGCTCCCAGCCCTGGGCTTTTACCCTTCATGGGCTCTATTTCAGAGCCTACTTTTATTATTTTTTATTTTTTACAGTTTATTTTGAGATAGAGGGGGAGCGGACAGAGAGAGAGGGGACAGAGAGAATCCCAAGCAGGCTCCGTGCTCTGCATGGAGTCTGATGCAGGGTTGGATCTCATGACCAGGAGATCATGACCTGAGCTTCTGAAACAAGAGTTGGACTTTTAACCAACTGAGCCGCCCATGTGCCGCAGAAAAGGGAATTTTATTTTTTACTAAAAAAAATTTTTTTTTATAATTTATTGTTAAGTTAGCTAACGTACAGTGCATAAAGTGCTCTTGGCTTCGGGAGTAGATTCCCATGATTCATCGCTTACATACAACAACCCAGTGCCCATCCCAACAAGCACCCTCCTCAAAGCCCATCACCCATTTTCCCCTCTCCCCCATCCCCCTATCCATCTTCAATTTGTTCTCTGTATTTAAGAGTCTCTTGTGGTTTTCCTCCCTCCCTGTTTGAAACTACTTTCTCCCCTTCCCTTCCCCTATGGTCTTCTGTTAAGTTTCTGAAGTTCCACATATGAGTGAAAAGATTCGATCTCTGTCTTTCTCTGACTGACTTACTTCACTTAGCACAATACCCTCCAGTTCCGTCCACGTTGTTGCAAATGGCAGGATTTCATTCTTTCTCGTTGCCAAGTAGTATTCCATTGTACAGATATACCACATCTTCTTTATCCATTCATCACGTGATGGACATTTGGGTCCTTCCATAACTTTGGCTGTTGTGGAAAGTGCTGCTATAAACACTGGGGTCCATGTGTCCCTATGGATCAGCACTCCTGTGTCCTTGGGATAAATTCCTAGTAGTGCTATTGCTGGGTCTTAGGGTAGTTCCATTTTTAATTTTTTGAGGAACCTCCACACTGTTTTCCAGAGCGGCTGCAACCAGTTTGCATTCCCACCAACAGTGCAAGAGGGTTCCCGCTTCTCCACATCCTCGCCAGCATCTGTTGTTTCCTGAGCCATTAATTTTAGCCACTCTGACCGGTGTGAGGTGGTTTCTCAATGTGGAGAAAAGGGAATTTTAGATCCAGGCCTCCCATTCTTCTTATGGTCCTGGTGCCCCTTTGTGGGGTCCAGGGTCCCTTCCGTCACTGTGTAAATTAAGCTCCTCGTGTTCCTGTCCTTGGTGGAGATGAACAGCTGGCAGCTGCCTGTCACAAAATGGATCTCCTTTTAGTTGAAACTAATTCAGTCCTCAGTCTTCTCCTTTTTAGATGAAATAGCAGGTCCCCCCAGCCTGAGAGTTTATTTGCTAATCTGTGTGTCATATACTTCATTATCTCACCTGAGCGTGATAGTGAGAACTCTGTGAAACGACTAGTGCACGTGCAAGTTTAACGATGATTCAGTCTCATTCCTCTGGCTCCCGTTAAAGCTACCTTCAATGGAGACACCTTACCTTATGGGTAGGACTTCTGTGTTGTCTTGACCGATTCAGATGATAAGAGGAAAACTCACACCCCAAGATTCTAAGTCTCAGAATCTACACCGACAGCACAAAGCAATGTGTCTGGGATTCTCTATGGAAGCTTCATGGGTCCCTGAGATACCAGGAAGCCTCTTGGAAGGGCTGTCTGCATTCTGAAAGATTTACACACAGGAGTCATCAGGGGATCCGACCACGGGTGTCTTGAGAGTTCCTGTGCGACCAGCCCCTCCACCCGGTCCTCCCCTTCCTGCAGCTGGATGTTAGCATGAAGCCGTGCTTCTCCCAACACCTTCCGCAGAGATTGCACTGCCCCTCCTCCGGGGTGGAGATGGGATGGGGTGAGAACACAGCCTCCACTCTGCCTTCCTTAGACAGGAGACTGTCATCCTGTTTCCCTTCTGCAGGTGTGGACAGTGAGGATGATCATGGCCGTGGGGATCTCGGGCGCCTCAAGAAGCAGAAGGACCACCACAACCCTCACCTCATCCTCATGATGATTCCCCCGCACCGGTTGGACAACCCAGGCCAGGGCGGGCAGAGGAAGAAGCGGGCCCTGGACACCAACTACTGCTTCCGGTGAGCTGGGGCCCTCTCACGACCCGGAACTCCTGAGATGTTTACGGTGCACCTGCTGTGGCTCAGTCCCTAGGCTTAAGCGGTGCTAACCCGGGGGTCCTGGATGCGATTCACAAACCCTCTTACAGAGGTGTTCTTGTTTTTCTGGGAGCCCTACTGTTTCTCCACAGCCCAGCTCTGTGAGGGCCCAGGTGAAGGAAATGAGGAGAGTGTTGTTCAGACAGCTTGGATCGGAGATACCTGGCCGAAGCCTCCCCACAGTTTTCGTGTTTTAAAGGACTTATAGGGGGTGTTTGTGCATGGGGGAGATAAGTGGAGAACTTCCCACGCAAGAAGTGCTCCGTTCCCTATGAGCTGCTTAAGGATGCTCCTGGGTGAGGGGAGTAGGGCAGCCTCCCCTTTCCGGGGGAATTTGAGCTGGAGAAATTAATGAACTCACTCAGAAGGACTACGTAGCCACTGGGAAGAGAGGAAAAGAAAGAGCCTCTTCTCTGATCTAGTTTAGCTCTTCATTCGTAAGGGAGGGGACGATAAAGCACACACAGCAATTACTGAAAGGTAGAAAATGCCCACATCCGTGAGAAGGTCTGAAAGATCGAGTGCCTGAAGAACTTGGAGCAAGAAGTTGTGGATGCAGGAAAGGCTTCGGAAGGGTGTGGAATTTGAGCCTCCGTGGGTGAGTGAGGCTTGGACCTGTAGGGATATGGGCGGAGGAAGGAAGGAGCACGCATGGGTCAGTTTGGCTGGAGAGGGGGATGCCTGAATGGAGCTGGGGGAGAATGAATTAGGAAATTTTTCAGATCTACGACCACGTCTTACGAGGAACAACTGAGTGAACTCAGGCTGTTGAGCTTGAAGGTGTAACAGAAGCAGTGACGTTGCGCCGACTGTCTGAAGGCTGGCGTGTAGATTTGTTCTGTGTGGCTCTTAATCAGTTAGGAATGGATACTCTTGGCTGCAAGTAACAGTGGCCTAAACCCCAAAGGATTTCTTGTTCACAATAGGCCCACAGCAGCAGGCTCAGGGCTGGGCTGGCTGCCTAATTATGCCATCAGGAATACGGGCTTTCTCTCTCTGCAGGCCACCACGATTACTATGTTGGTTTGCTTTTCATCTTCTTGTTTATGGTTGCAGTGAGTGCTAAAGCTCCAGGTATCTTGTCTAGGCTCAAGACAAGAAAGAAGGGGGAAGAGGCAGAGCCAGAAGCTCTCCTCTCCCATCATCCGTGACTTTTATAAAGAATCAAAATGTTTTTGCCAGCATTTGCCCTTACCCTCTGCATACTTCTCCTTATGTCTGATTGGTCATTGCGGGGTCACATGACCACCCCAACCTGCAAGAGAGGCCAGGAAAATGGTGCTCTCGACTCTCGTGATGGGAGGTGGCAAGGGAGAAGGGAGGTAGGGATGGCTGCTGAGTAGATAACCAAGAGTGTCTGCCATGGTTCACCCTCGGAACCCACAAGAAGCCAGATTTTGGAAGTGGTAAGTTTTAAGTCTCAGCAGACATTGAAGAACAGGCTAGATGCCCACTTGGCAAGAGTTACTGCCAAATGGATTTCTGCAGGGAACAGAATTGAGATGGCCTGATAATCGCACTTGGGGTGAATCATGAGTCTAATGGAAGGATACCCTTCATTTTTATTTGATGGCCCCTGGGTTTAGTCTGAGCAGTCTCAGGTTGTACGTGAGCGGCATGAGCTTAGAGTTCACGTCTGGTCGGGTGCACATTAGGAAGGGAACAATGAAACCAACCTCAAGAAAACTGAGCTGGCTGAGAGCATTCAGTGCTTGGTTCTATGTGAAGCAATTTAAGGCTCTGCTTTGATCCATCATGAAAAAGGGGGCAGGTCCACTTTTGCCTTTTTTCTCTTCCTCATGCATCATCTGTATCTGCCTGTTGTGTCCTTGGGACCAAGAAAATGCCTTTATGGTATATACTGCTCAATGCACTTGAACCTGGGATTCCATCGATTAGGACCACCTCTTAGGATGACCTGGGAGGACTCCAGGCACAAATATGAGGGCCGTTGGTGAAGTTCTTTTACATGGGTGGTTTCCTTTAGGTTGATTGTCTCTAAATGTTTTTCGTTGTAGCAATTTGGAGGAGAACTGCTGTGTGCGCCCTCTCTACATTGACTTCCGACAAGATCTGGGCTGGAAATGGGTCCACGAACCTAAGGGCTACTATGCCAACTTCTGCTCAGGCCCCTGCCCCTACCTCCGCAGTGCGGACACAACCCACAGCACGGTACGGGGCGGGGCTCATGCCAGGCGGGGCGCTGGGGCGGAGCCGCCCGGCCACTGGTTCAACTGAATGCGTGAAGGACTGAATGTGGAATGAGCGAATGATGATCCAGGGCGAGTAAAATCCCTTTGTGAAGGTTCTGATCTTGGCACCCTGGCCCGACTCTACTTCGTCACATTGTGCCCTTTAAAATTTCTTCCATGGTTTCCACCAGACTTTAAAATTTGTTCTAAAGCTCTTGTACCATTCTGGAAATTCACGGTCACACCCCACCCTGTATGTCAAAGATGTCTGCACACAGCTAGCGGGGAGTGTTGGGGAAAAGAGGCTTCTACCATCCGTTCAAACACTCTGATAACTCCAGCCTCTTGGATGCAGAAAAGTTACTTTGAAAGATAATGCAAAGCACACAGAAGAAGCTAATATGCAACAATGGGAGGAGAAAGGGAGAAACTAGCTGCTGGCTTTTCTTTCCCTCAAGGGGAATCAAAGCTAGGGCAGTAATTTGTGGAACGTGTTTCCCGATAGCTCATGATTACTGCATCCGGTCTGGGGCCCCACGCTCTGGCGCTTACTGCATGGCCCAAAGCAGCGTTTAGTGAGATCACTTCTCACCAAAGTGGCCAGTCGCAGCTAGGAACACCGATACAGGAGCGTTTCTTAACAGCAGAGAAAATCTCATTATCCCGTTAAAGTCGCCCGATAATTGTTACAAGCTTAACCTGATAATGCTCAAACCGGTACAGATGTTCCCCCAAACCGAAATAGCCTGGCTGGCCAGTCTACCACTCGCCCCGTCTCTGGAGCGGCCCCCAGAACTTGCGGAGGGCTCTCGGCCCGGGGCCTGGCTTGCCAACCTCTAAATGATGTGTCCTCCCCAGGTGCTGGGACTGTACAACACCCTGAATCCCGAAGCCTCTGCCTCACCTTGCTGTGTGCCCCAGGACTTGGAGCCCCTGACCATCCTGTACTATGTCGGGAGGACCCCCAAGGTGGAACAGCTCTCTAACATGGTGGTCAAGTCCTGTAAGTGTAGCTGAGAGCCCGCCTGCGACAGAGAGAGAGGAAAGAGAACCGCCACTGCCTGACTGCCTGCTCCTCGGGACACACAAAAGCAACACTCCTCACCTAGAGGCCTGGAGCCCGCAACCTTCAGCTCCAGGCAAATGGCTGAGACGGATGTTCCCTTTTGGGACATTTCTCCTTCTTGCTGGCTCTGAGAATCACTGTGGTAAAGAAAGTGTGGGTTTGGTTAGGGGAAGGCCCAACTCTTCAGAATACACAGATTTTCTGTGACCTAGACAGACGTGGTGGGGACGGAGGAAGAGGGATGGCGAGTCGGCACCTGACACATGGTGTGGCAATGGATCTGGGAAACCCTAGGGAGGAGGAAGGGCAGAGAACGGCCGGGACAGGGCCAGGCTGGAAGACGCTTCTGAGGTCAGATTGGCTCATCGCTGCCCCACACCTGCTCTAGGGAACCTGGATCACTTTAGACAAGGCAAGCATCTTCCTTCAGGCAGGTTACCTAGACAGTGTCCCAGATTTGTAGCTCATACTCCCTGGGATTAAGGATGAATCTGCTTTTTGCAAATGGTCCTCTCAACATCAGTCAGCACCGAGGGTCATTACAGGGAGAAAATCCAGGTAATGTCGTTCCCGGGCCATCAACTGGATTGGGCCGTATGGACACGCCGAACTCAGAAGCGGAGGGTGGGATGAACGCTCTCCTGCCCGCCCTCTGGGCCCCTCCTCTCGCCTTCTTCCTCGACCGTATTTCCCCTTGGACATCTGGCTAGACGCCGTCCAGGTCAGGGTGCACGTATCTGGATTATGGTCTGTGCAGTCTTGGGGCATTATGGGTTCCCCTCTATCCCCCAAGACCCTGTGTTCATCTGGTGTTCCTGGAAGCAGGTGCTAGAACGGGTGAGGCATGCGGGGAAGCAGCAAATGCGCCACGCGACTTGGCCCCAGACACATAGACTGAGGTATAAAGACAAATACAAATATTACTCTCAAAATCTTTGTATAAATAAATATTTTTGGGGAATCTTGGATCATTTCCATCTTCTGGAAGATTGTTTCTAGAACAGTAAAAAGCCTTTTCTAAGGTGGAAGTCTGACTGGATGAATATCCTTAATCACTCTTTTCTTAATTCCCTGTTCATATCCACTAACTAGAGGGAACGGGAGCCCGGGGCAGGGAATCTCGAGCACACTGCTTAGTGGGAGTCCCCTGGACACCGGTAAACTGCACTGCCTCTGCCATCGGAGGGAGAAGACTCAACTGTTATTGGTGTTCCTTCCTTTCCTTCTCGTGAAGTAGTTTGCTCTCAGACACACACAGAGGCAGTGGCAGTGGCTCAGATGGGCAGAAAGTGTAACTGTGGGCCAAAATCACTCGGGGTGAGCCCTTGTACGTGGAAGTGTGTTGGTTTGTACATTCACTATCCATGAAGAACATCATCATTTTTGAACATCTGATCTCACCCGCCACATCAGTGGAGAATGAGAGAAACTGGCAAATGGCCTAAGAAGACGAGGCTAATTCTGTTATCAGGTTAAGCTCGCCAGGAAACCCTTTACAGACAGAGGGCCTCTTGTCAATGATTTAGGGGTGGGAGAGGGCGGGGAAAGAACAATCCCACAGTTCTGTTTCGAGGTCCCAGATCCCAGAGCAATGCAGAATTCCACTGTGGCGTTGAGGTCCACCTGAAGCAACCATCTGCAATGAGTGAGGAACCACCTAGCGGCTCCCCAAAAACATGTTCCTCTATTGAAATCACCGTGCCATTGGTGAAAAAGTCGATCTGAAGCTAAGATTTGCAGGCCGAAGGGTCTGTGTGGTATGTGTGTGTGTATGTTGATGTATCTTGCTCCTTCTGGAGTTCTCCCGGATTGAACTCCTGACTTTGGTCACTAAGTCTTTCTTTCTCGCTTTGTCCATGCTCAACCAATCCTAAGAGCTTCTCTAAGGCTTTGTCCCCTGCGGTCTTGATCCCGTTGTACTTTGGGGGCTGTGTCCCTGCCCCAAATTCACGGCTCCTGGGATTGTGGTCCATCCTACCCAGGGAAGCTAGTGGGCCTAGAGAGGGGCCAGCCCTGTGGCCATGGGCCATTGCTATCCCAAGCTTCAGAGTCTACTCACTCGTGGCAGCTGTTCCCAAGTTTCAGTGGGCAGGAGAAGCACCCAAGGGTTTACTAAAAATGTGCAACTTCAGGCTGCAGCTCTGGAGGTGTCTTTAGGCCCGGGGGAAGGTCCAGGCTGCCTAAAAGCTCCATTTTGAGCAGCTTATACCTGACATCATGGGTCCTTACTTAAGGCTTAAGGAAGAAAGGAGTACTCTTTCTGACCCTGGAATAAACCTTCCTTCTTATCCAACCTCATAGGACATCACTACAACGTTGGCCTGTGGCTCATCCTAATGAACCGAGGCAATGAGATATGTTTCTTGAAGTATCCCAAAGAAAACAGAACACACTGGGGTTCCAAATGTTCTTTTTATATTAGAGCTCTATTCTTATCTTTACCAGCAGATACAAATATGGACGGGGGTCTGAAGTCCAGTCTCTGCATTCCACATGCCACTTATAGGCACTGCAGAAACTTGAACCATTGTCTGTCTGTCTTAAAAAAAAAAAAAACACACGCTTGTTTTGGGGGAAGGGAGGTAGGGACACGGGGAAATGACACGGTTGTTGGAGGTGGTGGGGGGGGGGGATCGTATGATCTGTTTTGTTTATTACCAAGACTTGGACTTGCCATGAGAAGTCCAGTACAGGAGAGACGACGTGAAAAGTACTTGGTTAAGTGAAGGAGAGATCTGGAGTCCGGCCTCACACCGGATAAGCAAGTGGTGAGTGCAGTAAGAAATCAGGTTGAGGACTCAAATCTGACGGTTACCTAGGGCAATTCCAAGCGGTCTAGTAGGTCTCAAAGGTTTTTTGTCTTTTGGTTTTTAAACTGGGCTCATACCCTCTTATCCTCTCCCACAAGAGCCATATGCTGAGTCTCCCCAAACGTCTCATTTCCTGGTTCTACACATCACTTAGGGAATCATGAAGGAACTCCGATTTGTCTCCCGTTAACCAATTCACAACCAAATTAGCAAACGGTTAAGATGGACCTCAAGCTACTAACCAGAAATCCCATGAATACGTTCTCTCTTCTCCCGCAAAGTGACGGTCTTCATCCCTCACACGCAAACAAGACGCTTCAATGTGCTCAAACCTGTTTTCGTTCGCTAAGAAGTCAATAAAGTCCCTTTGCTCTCTTCCTTGTTGGGTGTCATTCTTCCTTTGGGGTTTCCATGCTGAGTCTATAGCACCCTGTTGTAGAAACCCCAGACTCTGGATCCTCGCCCAGTACTCCCTAGGGCAGCTAAGTCAGTCCTTGGGTGGGCTCTGTAGCCCACCTTTCAACCTCTTCTTCCACAGAAGCCAGAGAGAGGGCCGGGGAAAGGTGAGGGGGCAAGGGAGCAGAGGTCAAGTGGAAAGCCATCAGGGGCTGTGCGGCCTCCTTCTGACGAACTGTTTACGGGTGCAGATCCACTGGCCACTAGAGGACCTGTCTGCTGCGGGCTGACAACGGACACATTTGCACATACGAGCTTCCCAGGTACAGGAGCTGCCCGCGGGGAGCGACCTGGGCCCGCCATCTGCTGAAACCAAATGGAAGAATAAAACCTCTCTTTCCGAGTTCCCATTTCTAAAACAGAGTTTCAAAACTTGCCCAGCAAGGGCGTAAAACACCAAGTTGGCCCCATTTCAGGCTCGTGTGTGAGTACCGATTGTTGGGGGAAATTAGTAAATGGAAAAAAAGAAAATAAAAATAGAATTACTTTATTAATTTTAGAAATCAGTAATTCCAAAGGGTGCCCTTACCATGGCTCATGTGGTCAGCAGCACACCAACTTTTCTCCGCTCTCTGGGAAACTTGTGATGTATGCTTCCCCCTTCCCCCAAACCCTCAGAAAAGGGAAGAACAACTTTGGTAGATACTGTTGTTGGGGTTTTAGGCTTGTAGGAAGTAAAGCTTAATACTGCAATCTGGAAAAGAAGAGGAAGCAAAATGCAAATAGCCAAAGAGCCTCTTTTATATCGTCTCTGTGTGGTAGCAGGAGAGGGACAGAGAAGACCTAAGTAGGTTGGGGGAGGAGGTAAAAGGGGTGAAAGATACATGTGTGCTCTGATGGGGTACATAACGTATCAGTGGAAGGTCCCCACTGCCAAGTTCAATCAAAACCCAGCCGATGTGTTTTCCTGTTGTCTCAGTAAAAGTCTGGAGTGGCTGAATGGCAACAATCTACTGCCACCGCCGCTTGAAGGCTCTGGGGGGGGAGGCAGCAAAAAAAAAAAAAAAAAAAAAAAAAAAAAAAAAACCATGGACCCCTTGCAGCGCCTCCGACACACCCATGGCAGTAGCGGGACAGCAAATAGGTTCTTCCTCAGTGCGGCTGTGGCTCATCTTTTAGTGTGAGCAGGATCTGAAACAAAGAACCAACCGCTAAGTGACCTAAATGAGGACATGGGGTTTCACTTCCTTACAATAACGTCTGGTTTAGTCAGCATTACGGAAGACTAAGGAAGTTGTGGCCAAATAAATGAAGTTCACCTTGAACTGGAAGACCTGTCATTTTAACCACTTTTGTTGGAAACCTTTCTAACGCACTCCGGTTCTGCTGCTGCTTTTTTTGTGTGCTGCTTAGTTTCTTCCCCCTTCTCCCCCCCCCCCCCCACCCCGTAAGAACATTTTATCCCTTTTGCTTCTTAAACAGAAGATGCTAAAATATGTGAATCCTTGCTAGAAGTGTAGGGCCAGCACAATTAGCATTCAGTATCGAACTGCATGGAAACACTGCTCTATGCACACCTCTGAGCGTGTCTAAAACTCTGCCGAACAGCAGGTTGTCAGAATACACTCTGCCTTGTACCCCTGTCCTTATCCCCCATATATGCACCTACATCCCGTCACCTGGTTTAAGACAAAGACATTACCATTACCCCGAGTCCCCTGTGAGGCCCTCCCATTGCCTGCCCATTTCCACTCTCCTCAATTTTGTGTTTATCCTTCCCGTTTGTTTTTTAAAAACAGGTTTATTCACCACATATACTCATATCCCTAAATATATGTCGTTTCGTTTTATGTGGTTTTCAATTTCCCAGTGCTGCTATAACTATTATTACATGTGATCTCAGCACACAGCTGGGAGAATTTCTTCAGTTATATACTTAGGAGCGTAACCGCTGGGTCATGGACACTTGCCTCTTCAACTCTCTAAAAAACGAAGCCGTATTACATTCCAGAGCGGTTGCGCCAGTTCACCCCCTACCCCCACAGCACTGGATGGGCTTCCCCTGCTTCTCTGCCTCACCTACCGGTGGAGGAGGGGTGTTGCCTGAGTTTAAAATATTTGCCAGTCAAGTGTCCTACTGTGGTTCCAATTAGCATTTTCCCCAATTAGGAATGAGGTTGAGGGACGCCTGGGTGGCTCAGTCAGGTTAAGCCTCTGTTGGTTTCTGCTCAGGTCAAGATCTCTCCAGACTTGTGAGATGGAGACCCTCCCCGATGCGCGTTCTCTTTCTCTCAAAATAAATAAGCTTAAAAAAAAAAAAAAAAGGAATGAAGTTGAGCCTCTTTTCAAGTATCTATGGCGCATACATGTTTTTTCTTCTGTGAAATGTCTGGACATGGCTTTTGCTTATTTTCTTACTGAGTTTACTGTTTATTGATTAAAAAAAAAAAAAACCGCTTCAATGAGCTATAAGCCACATACCACACAATTCACCCATTTAATGTGTATAATCCGGTGGCTTTAGTATATTCAGAGTTGTGCATCTCCCACCACAATCACTTCCAGAACATTTTCATTGAAAGAAGGCGAAACCCCATGCCTCTTAGCCATCACTCTCACACATCTCATCCTCCAGCCCCAGGCAACGACTAATCTTTCCAGTCTCTACAGATCTGCCGATTCGTGACATTTCATATGAGTGGAATCACACAATATGTGGTCTTTTGTGTCTGGCTCCTTTCACTTAGCATGATGTTTTCAAGGATCATCATGTTGTAGCATGTAGCAGTACTCTATTCCTTTTTCTTTTTTAAGTTTGTTTACTTATTTTGAGAGAAAGCGAGAGAGTGAGTGGGGGAGGGGCAGAGAGAGAAGGAGAGAAAGAATCCCAAGCAGGCTCTGCACTGTCAGCAGAGCCCGATGCGGGGCTTGAACTCATGAGATGTGAGATCATGACCTGAGCCGAAGTCGAACGCTTAACCGACTGAGCCACCCAGGCATCCCAAGATGGATGGTTTGTTTAAAAAAATTTTTTTGTTAAATAAAAAAATGTTAGATATACACACAAAATAGCATAGTGTAAGACACCTCCACGTTCCATGTTCCCAGCATCTCACTTTGATAATTACCAACATTCTACCATTCTTTTTCTCTCTCCCTCCCCCAGTTTCCTCCCCCTGGAGTACTTCAAAGCAAACCCAAGGTAACACATCATTTCACCTATAAAAACTTCACAATGTATCTCTAATGATATTAAGGGCTTAAAAAAAAAAGAACTACAAAATAAAACAAAAAACCTACAATATCTTTATGGTGTCTTAGAAGTTCTCAATTTGAACAAAGTCAAATTTATCAATCTCCATCTTCACAGTCTGCACTTTTTGGGGCTAATGTAAGAAATCTTTTCCTTACCCCATGGTCATAATGGTATCCTCCTATGATGCTTTATATAAGATGGGACACTTTTTTTTTTTGCCTGTCATTTTTAAGTCTTTAATCCAACCTAAAATTATCTAGAGTGTGAAGCACAGATCTAATTTCATTTTCCCCACACAATAACTAACTATTCTAGTTATTATTGATGGAAAAGTCCATCCTTACCTTCTTTAATGGCAACACCTCTCTGTTATAAACTGTTTTCACATAGGAGACCAGTTTTAGGTTTTCTCTATTCTGTGCCAACACCATGCTCCCTTTTTTTATTAAAAAAATTTTTTTTAAATGTAATCTCTGCCAACGTGGGTCTTGAACTCTCGGCCCCTAGATCAAGAGTCACACGTTCCACCGACTGAGCCAGCCAGGTGCCCCTACCCCATGCTCTCTTAATTACTTTAGTTTGGTAATAATTCTTGGTGTCTAGTAAGACAAGTGACACATGGCCTCTATCTCTCACTCTCATTCTTTTTTTTTTTTTTTTAACGTGTATGTATGTATGTATGTATGTAGAGAGAAATGCGTGCACCAGCTGGGGGAGGGGCAGAGAGAGAGGGAGAGAGAGAATTCCAAGCAGACTCCATGATGTCAATGCAGAGCCCGACGTGGAGCCTGATACCGCAAACTGTGAGATATGTTTCAAGAGTCAGATGCTCAACTGAATGAGCCACCCAGATGCCCCTCACTCTCATTCTTTAGTAGTACGAGGGTTATTCTTGGCCCTTTTCCCTTCCATGTAAACTTTAAAATCAGCTTGTCAAATTAAAAAAAACAACTAACTAATGCCCTCTTAAATCTATCGATCAATTTTGGGACGAACCGACATCTTTACCAAACTGACCTTTGATCTTGGAACATGTACATCTCTCCATTATTTTGGTTTTTAAAGTGATTTTCACTATGTTTTTATAATTTTTAAAATAATAGGTGTCATATTTTTTGTTAAGATTTTTCCTTAGGTACATTATACGTCTTCGTGATTATACTTTTGATACAGAGGGTATCTTTTCCTATAATCACACACTCTATTGCTGATGTACGGAAAGATCATTAAATTCTCTTGTAAAGGTAATAATTTATTTGAATACTCTTTTTGGGTATCTGATGAGACAAATATATTATCTGAGAATATGGACAGATTTGCATCTTCCTTTCTGATTCCCGTGTCATTTCCTTTCCTTATTTTACTTTACGGACTAGGACTTCCAGTACAACACTCAGGAGAAGGGATAGGCTTCCCTTGTCTTGCTTCTCATCTTAAAGGGAATCTTTAAAAGTTTTCCAATGAATAGTGTGATGGCTATTGCTGTCTATTTGTAGAGATACTTCATAATTAGGCTCCCTTCTATTCTTAGTGACCTGGGAATTTTTTTTTAAAGTGATGAATGAATATGCTGAATTTTATCAACTGCTTATTCTGTATCCATTGAGAGGAGCATATGATTCTTTTCCCTTTAATCTGTTACTGTAGTAACTACATTAGTCAATTTTTAAACGTTAAGTAATCCTTGAATCTCTGGAATAAACCTAACTTGATCATGATTTTTTTTTTTTTTTACATTGCTGGACTCAGTTTGCTAATGTTTTATTCGTAATTTTTTCACATTTATATCCACAATTAAGAAGATGTTGTGATTTTAGAATTTTTGTGGGAGGGCTGTCCTGGGTAGGTTTTGCTATTAAGATAGTAAGAGCTGAGAAGTGTTCCCTGTTTTCCTCTATTCTGGAAGAGTTTGTAGAAGGTTGGTATATCTGATCCTTGGATGTCCAGGAAAACCATAAAAACCTGCTGTTGTATTTGTGGAATCATTTTTGTTCTTGGTTAAATTTCCTAATAATTAAAGAATATTAGGGCTTCGTAATTCTTTTTGAGCAAATTCTTCTAAGTTAAATACTACATGTGTATCCATCTCACCAAAGTTTTAAAAAGGTATCAGTACGAAGTTATTCATAATGTTGTCCATCTGTTTAATCTCTGAGGCATATATAATAATGTCTCCATTCATTCCTCTCAATGGTGCTTATTTTCTATTTCATTATTTTCTTCCTTTACCTTTATTATTATGTATTTGTCTTTACTTTTTACTTTCTTTGGACTTATTTTGTTGTGAAATTCTTAGGCCAGATTCTTAGCACATTAACTTTGAGCCTCTACCCTCTCCCTACTATGAATTTAAGTTTTCCTTGAATATTGCTTAGCTACATTCCTCAGGGTTTTGGTGAACGGTATTTTCTAATCATATTATGATTTTTTTTTTTTTTTTTGGTGAGTTAATTCTTAATTTAATCCGACATGTGAGGATTTTCCAGTTATCTTTTTGTTACTGCGTTGTGACCAGGAAAGATGGCCTTCGAAATGTGATTCAAAGCCATATCTGCTAGGTCAAGCCTCTCAACTGTGTGGTTCAAATTTCCTAAAATATAACTGATTTTCAGACTGCTTGATCTACCAATTATTGAGTTATATTAAATCATTCCAATATGAATGTGGGTTTGTCTATTTCTCCTTGTGGTTCTGTTAATTTTTTTGTCCAATACAGTCTTTACAAATATGCATTTTATTTAATTAAAAAAATCAGTAGATAAGCTAGTGAAACTAAATCAACAAAAAAAGGCTAAATGCTTTCTGGTGAATCTTTAGAACTTTTAGCCATAATGTAGTGACCGTCTTTATTTCTTGATATGTTTTTTTTTTTTTTGTCTTAAAATCAATTTTTCTGATAAATATAGCTATATCCCCTGGCATATCTTTTGCCAAA